TTAGTTAGATGGGTTAAGTCGTTTGTGGGGCTTATTCTTTTAGATCTGGGCATATTGTGAGTTTCTTAAGCTTAAAGGTGAAAACTTTATGGTGCTTATGGCCTCATGCATTAAGTCATCTATTAAGTCCTTTTGAGCTTTAAGAGCTTCATTAAGACATGCATGCACGTAAAGTTAGCAACTTTACGTGATAAACCAGCCCAAGGAAGTCTGATCTAAGTTGTGTAGTGATGTCTTAATCAGTTAAGAGCTGGAAATGGAAGATGTCTGAATGAGAGAGTACGCTGAGCGTACAAGCAGGTATGCTTGTCGTACAAGCCCTAAGGCAAGTACGATGCGCGTACAAGCTGAGTACGCCCCGCGTACTCAGCAGAGTTGGCCTCGGATCATTGGGTCTTCGGTTTGGGCCATATTTTAGGCTTAGATGTTTAGGGCTTTGTTGGGTCATCTGAATTCATGTGTTTTGGGCTAGGAATATTTTTGGACCTTGGATCAAGGCCCATGAAAGGGGTTTGGGCCCAATTTGGAAAATTGGGCCATGTTTGGGCCTTGGATAATTATTTTGGTATTTGGGCTTTTGGATTGTAAGTTTGCGCCTTGGTCTTGGACCAAACTAGGTAAGGTGTAAAATGGTCTTTTATTCTAACTTTGGACTGATGGTTAGGGATTGGAATCTGATTATTAATTCGATGTTATATGGTATTTATATCTCGGGGATTTGTCGGACCAGCAGCCAGAGATTTATCCGTGTGATTCAGCAGTTCGAGGTGAGTTTCCTCACTGGGTTTAGCGGGTCGAAGGCACCAATGCTGGCCCATGATTATGTTATGTTAGAGTGTTAGATGTCTACGTGACTCTTGCATGCGTTATGTACTTGTATGCTTACCGGCGGGGCCCGATGACCATTTTGTATGCTATGTATCTATGTGATTATTGCATGTGTATGTGTTTATATGATATATGTTTATATGTATGCCGGGCGGGGCCCGCTCTGTATATCGAGCGGGGCTCGATGTCGTGTGGGGTTCGATGACGGGCGGGGCCTATTATGCGTTTATTATGTATGGTATATGGTATTTTGGGGAACTTACTAAGCTTTGTGCATACGGTTTTCAGTTTATGTTTCAGGTACTTCCAGTTCCACATGGAAGAGCTCGGGATGATTGTAGGGCACACACCTCCTCGTTCCACATTTTCTTAACTCTGATGTGATATGTTGATTGATACATTTGTTTTATCTGGATTTTTATGACGATATTCTTTGAATACTGGTTTTATTAATTTAAAAATGAAATTTTTGGGTCTTATTTTTGGGACGTTACATTAGGGACTGCATATAGTCATGTAGGATAGACTGAGAACTCTTGATCTAGGCTCTTATACATGTTCCTTGTTTGGTTGTGGTTCTAGAGTAGGATCACCTGTCCGGGTGTCTATCTCACCTCTGAGTATATACGGTCATACATTCTTGGATTGTTGATATTTAGTATGCTGCCATGTTGTGGTGATCTGTTAGATCAGTATCCTGGTATCAAGTATGCTGCTATGTTGTGGTGATCCGTTAGATTTGTATCCTGGTATCGAGTATGTTGTTTTGTTGTAGTGATCTGTAGAACTGTATGTCATATGTACTTGATGGTTATCATCTAGTGGAGTGCCCTAGGGACTGTATGTAGTCATGTAGGATAGCATGGGAACTTTTGATCTAGGATTTCTTGTATGTTCCTCGTTTGGTTGTGGCTGTAGAGTAGGATCATCTGTTCGGGTGGCTATCTCACCTTTGGGTACTTATGGTTACGCATTCCATGGAGGTTAGTTGGTAGCAGGACTGTATGTTGTGAGAGGACTAGTAGGCGGTAGCGAGATGTATGATTTTTGTTTGCCTGTATTATGTGCCTACTTCATCCTGATTGTTTATATGTAGACATATTGTGGTAGTAGGTTGAGGCAGTCCTGCTTTGTGCTGTAGGCCAAGATACCCGGTGCGGGTCGGCTGTAAGATGAAGGCACAGAGGCTCGGGAGGAGCGGTTGGATTGAGGCGGTAGGCCAACAAACCCTGGTATTCCGGCCTGGATAGACTGAAGGCCTACGAGGCGGTCCAGTCAGCCTGTAGGCCCAAAGAACGGTCGTTCTGCATGCTTGTATGTTTATTATATGGGGTTTTTTTTTGGGGGGGGGGGGGGGGAATCACTAAGTTTTGTGCTTACCGAGTTGTTTATTGTTTCAGGTATCATCGGTCATCATGGGAAATCGAAGGCATGACTGTACACATTCATCAACAACAATGAAGATTTCGCGCTTTAATATTACTTTGATTTTTATAAATGTGTTTGGAATAAACGGTTTTCTCCATAATGGATTTATAATTAGGAAGTTACTTAAACAAAATGAAAAATTTTTGTTGTGAAAATGGGACGTTACACCCAAACCCCACGAGGGCGGCCCCCTCGACCCTGCCATTTGATCGAACCGAGATCAAACTCATTTTATTCAAGCATGCATTCCACGTTGTAACATGTCTAAAATCAAGGTTTTACCTCCATTGGTAATCTGTAAATTCTAATATACTAAAATGAACTCCGATGACACTAAAAACATCAACAACAAAAAGTATTTGTGAGTTTGCATTGGCGAGGATGATGGCCATTTGTTGGTAAAAGAAAAGATAAGGTCACCTGAGTATATATATTCTAATAATATGATCATTTTAGTGAATAACTCTTAATTATTTATATAATTTTTATCACTTATTTATAAGGTAAATACAAAGAGAGTCAATTATGTCATTTGACATATATACATTTTAGTTTTTTAAAAAACCAAATAAAATTTCCCAAAAAAAGATTTTAAATCTAATCCAAATCAACCAAGCAAACATGAAAAAACATGAAAGAAACTTTAAATTCTGTAGGTTCCAAATCCTTCAAAATTTAACTACTTCAAAATATTCAAAATCTCACAAAGTACAATATTACAATCCAAACGCCAATTAAACTTCTAGTTAGAAAGAAACAATTATTAAAAACTAATTACTTCGGAACCAAACAATTTAATCTCCCACACTAAAAGAATTTTGAATCATTATGTTACCATATGTACCCTACTCACTCACATAAAAAGTCAAACATAAATCCACTCGGTATACCAAACAATTGTAAGCCTTTAGTTGTACCTGTTTATTTATTTCCTATTGCTAATCTTTTAGGATGGAACTCTTAAATGTCTAACTTTCTAGAGTTCGAGGTATTGGCAAACGGACTTCGCTATTGCTCCAATTGATCAAAAGGCACAGAAAGGGTTTTGAAATTAAGTGTTCTGTTTGTATTTTACTAGTAGATTTGACTCGCAATTACTCAAATCAGTGGACCTTATTTTAATCGCTATTTGGCGTGCCGCAACATGTGTATTATTTTAGGATAAATTCAAAAACTAAGTACATATATATTTTATTATTACTATACACAATAAAAATTATTCTTTTTATTTATAATGTGATTTGTTTTATATTTTACTTATAACAACAAGTGAATGTAATTTTTATACATGTAGTAATATTTCAATAATATTAATGTATATAACGGACTAAGTTGCTGTTTGTTTTTCTTAAAAAACCTCTTCAAAACTCTTATTGCTGCGCGGCGCAGCACACGCGCAGCACTTTTTGTCCCGCAGCAGTTTGTTTTTTGGAAATCTTCGGGGCTTAAAACATATGTCCGTGTGCTTCTTGGGGAAGCACTTGTTGTACCTCTTCCCACCTCTTCCCGCCCCTTCAAACCTAAACCTAAAAAAATTCAATCCGAATAAACAATCGACCATTTTTTTTCCTAAAATCTAACAACGACGTGTCTTGTTTTTTAAATAAATGTCCATAAAGTATATTTAATATTACGTTTATGGTCTTTACTTATATATTATATTCTATTTTCACCCCTTTAACATTTAATACACTAAATTTATATCATTTTTAACTGTTTTCTTCCATTTGATTTACATAAGTTAATTCATTAAAATTTTGCTTTTTAAATTAGTTTATTTTAAATTTTTAACGCATGCAGCAGTCTGCAGATGTTAACAAAAACAAACACGCTTCTTATTACAGTCTGCAGCCGTTTGGTCCACTTCTTCTGCTGCAGAGGTTTGCAGAGGTGGTCCGCAGACTTTTTGAATTTTTGCTTTGGAAAAACAAACAGCAACTAAGTGAAATCCAACTATCCAAATCAATAAATCGGTTCAAATAATTTTTTATCGATTCTATTACACCGGTTTAATCCGGTTTTTGAAGCAACCATTCAGTTTGATCCGGTCTAGAAAATAGCATAAAAATGGTCCTTATTGAACCACTCTTGTTTGTGGTTCCCAGCGACAGGTTAGACTAGCCGGTTCAAACCAGGTTTTAAAACATTGCGTGAAAGTATTGTGGCAATGATGTGATAATCCATCGAACTCAATGAGTTCAATGGGTTGCGGATGCTATGAGTTTCTCCATTTATTCTTAAAATTATAATCATAGTAAGTTAGACACTCTATTTTTGTAATTATATCGATTTGTCCAATATCACATAATATAACGGTACAATTACCAAATCAATACAATTACAAAAGTTTAGGATCTGGCACATCTAAAAATTCCACAACTAAATGGTGACAACCACAATACCCCTATAGTCTAGTCTAGTTTAGTTTGTCATTAATCCGCGTATAGATGGCTTTATCTATTTAAAAAAAAAAAAATCTATATTATTTATAGTTCCCTATATACTATACCAATTATTTATGCAAGATTGATGCTGTGTGTAACTTTATATGGTCACAACTCACAAGTTAATTGACTTATAATTTGGCCATCAACTATACTGCTTTACATGAATAACTAAACGGTCAAATACTTGTAGCTGTGATGCATATATATGAACGCCATAGATGTGGTGCCATTTCTCATTCTTGATTACATTGTTAATTAATACTATCACATTCGTGACTAAAACTTGCTGCTGCCAATATGGTGGTGGATACTCGAAATGTTGTCTTCTTTACTGTCTTCTTCTTTGTTGTACATTACCTTCTTATCAGGTGGCGTGAGAAGATTCGTAATTCTACACCTATTCATGTTGTCACTGTGTCCGAGATGGCTGCCATTATCACATTTGTTGGATCTTGTATCTATCTTCTTCTTTACTTCGGCACTACCCTCGTTCACCACACACACTTTTCAGACGACGAGGAAGCAGAAGAAACAAAAAACCATGCTTCCATCGGTTGCAAATTTGATGTGTTGTTAACACATGCTGAAAAGAAAGAAGCAACCACCGGAGAGGATGAGGAGGTGATTCAAGCGGTGGTTTCAGGTAAAACACCGTCTTACTTACTTGAATCAAAGCTTGGAGACTGCAAGCGTGCTGTTTTCATCAGAAGAGTGGCGTTAGAGAGAATCACCGGAAAGTCTCTGGAAGGTTTGCCGCTAGATGGGTTTGATTATGAATCGATATTAGGACAATGTTGTGAGATGCCGGTAGGTTATGTCCAAATTCCGGTGGGTATCGCCGGCCCTTTGTTGTTGGACGGAATGGAGTTCTCCGTCCCCATGGCCACCACCGAAGGGTGTCTTGTGGCTAGCACGAATCGCGGTTGCAAGGCTATTTATGTATCCGGTGGAGCCACTAGCGTGTTACTTAAAGATGGCATGACTCGAGCTCCAATCGTAAGGTTTGGCACTGCGAAGCGGGCTGCTGATTTGAAGTTCTTCTTAGAAGAACCACTCAACTTCCAGAATCTAGCTTCGGTCTTCGACAGGTAATTATAACTTTATAAGATAGTTTAATTTAAGTCGTCATAACTTTACTCTATTTAGAACTGCATGAACATGGCTTATTAACATGGTAAACTTGCATGGCAGATCAAGTCGATTTGCGAAGCTTCAGAAAATCCAATGTGCGATTGCCGGGAGAAATCTATACATAAGGTTTACTTGCAGCACCGGTGATGCAATGGGCATGAACATGGTTTCTAAAGGTGTTGAAAACGTTTTAGAGTATCTCCAGGCTAACTTCCCGGATATGGACGTGATTGGCATCTCCGGGAACTATTGTTCCGATAAGAAACCGGCAGCGGTGAACTGGATAGAAGGAAGAGGAAAATCTGTGGTGTGTGAGGCAATTATAAAAGAAGATGTGGTGAAGAAGGTATTAAAGACGACCGTAGCTTCGTTGGTAGAACTGAACATGCTCAAGAACCTCACCGGATCCGCCATGGCCGGAGCTCTTGGTGGGTTCAATGCCCATGCTAGTAACATTGTGTCAGCGGTGTTCCTTGCAACCGGACAAGATCCAGCTCAGAATATCGAGAGCTCGCACTGTATCACCATGATGGAAGCTGTGAATGGTGGCCGAGATCTTCATGTGTCGGTGACCATGCCGTCGATCGAAGTTGGGACTGTCGGTGGTGGAACACAATTAGCTTCACAATCAGCTTGTTTAAACTTGTTGGGAGTAAAAGGTGCAAACAAAGAATGGGCTGGATCAAATGCACGTCAGTTGGCTAAGGTGGTTGCTGCCGCCGTTCTCGCCGGAGAGTTGTCTCTAATGTCTGCAATCGCGGCGGGGCAGCTTGTGAAGAGCCACATGAAGTATAATCGCTCGAATAAAGATATTTCTGCTAAATTTTAATGAGTGCTCGGACTAGTCTCCCTTGGGGCTTTCTCTTTGATGATAGATTAATTAACTCGTCTAAAGTTTTCTTTGGCATTGGATAGCAAATATTTATTTGGCAAATATGCTTGCTTTTTTATTTATACTATTTGTAAAACTAAATGTATATTAGATTTGTAACTTGAGTGATCTTACCCCATTTTGTGGGGACAAAACATGTCTAAATATGAAAGTCTATAGACAAAATCTGTCAATATACGAAAATCATTCATTCATTTGGCCAAAATTTGAAGGGAAAATACCGTCAATAGTCAAAAAATGGGGGGTAGTTTCAAAAAATAGACACAAAAAGTTGGATTTCCGGATATAGACATGGATTCCGCGAAGCTTCGCGGAATCTACTGTAGCTCCGCGAAATGGCAAAAATCGTAAATAAATGAGTGTATTAAAAAAAAACCTCAAGATCCATTCCGCGGAGCTACCTCCGAGGAATGAACTCATTCCGCGGAGGTAGCTCCGAGGAATGGATCTTCAGTTTTTTTTTTTTTCACATCGATTCTACGAGGTTTATATTCATTCCCCAACTAATTATTTTCAAACAAAGATTTTCATACTATCATAATCTTTTTCTTGAAAATAATTAGGTGTGGAATTAATATAAACCCCGAAGAAACGATCTGAAAAAAAAAAAAAATTTAAAGATCCATTCCGCGGAGCTACCTCCGCGGAATGCATGTCTATACCTGGAAATGTCCATTTTCATGTCTAAAATTTGAAATTACCCCCCATTTTTTGACTATTGCCGGTATTTTCCCAAATTTGAAACCCAAAAAGTCCAGAGACCAACCCAAAAAGTCTAGATACCAAACCTATCGATATACTAGAGTCTAGTGGTAAAAGTCTAAAATCCAAAAAGTCTAGGGACCTTACCTATCAATATAGAAAAGTGTTTGTGGTCGAAATTGGAGAAAAAAAAACGAACTAAGTATTTTTACAATTGTAATCGGTATATATAATAAGGATGGTAGATAACCCTCACTCAAATAAATTGTCAAATTATGAGGATACAAAGACACTATTCCAGAGTGGGGTAAACAAAACAATATGAATGATAAATATACAAGGGAGAATTTCGTTTATACATTTACTAAACGATTAAATATCGTATTTGTCTAACCTAAACTTTAAATATCATATTTGCCATTGTTAATGTTTTAAAATATCAAATTTACCCAAATCTATTTTTTTATAGTTATTATCATTTAATAAATTTTTTACCATCTTAAAATCATTAAAACTAAAAACAACAACCAAATGGATAATAATACCCTTCTTTTACAAATCACAGGTTTAATTCACGCGAGGTTTTAATACTCTGGTCGTCTTCCCCAAGTTGTCTTCCTCACGACCTCCCTTCATTTAGGTACTATTCAAAATATTTGTTTTTAATTGATTTTTTATTGATTGGTTGAACTTGAACAGATTGGAAGACCTTTTACTACTAAGGGGGGTTCAAGTTCTTGACTTGTTGGAAAAGAAACCATTGATCTTTTGATTGCAAAATCAGGAATGGAAGTTGACAAAAACGGTGGTAAAGATGGGCATGAAACTAAAGAGGATCGGTTATTGGAGAAGGTAACATTTGACATATGCTTTTACATCTATATAGGTTCAGAGCTCATGGAGGTAGTACATTCTTTCATCTTTTTTATCATCAAATTAATTTTAGCATATCAAAGTTTCTTATAATGTTGAGTTTCAAAAACTTGAGGCATTGTCAAACCATTATGCCTTTTTATTTAATCGAAGAAAAGCAAAGTTGTTAATAGATGAAAAATCTACATACAATGTGTAGCTTAAACAGGTTCAACAGTTGCTAAGTTTAGAAACTGGAAGTGATGGAAAAGGTGCAAAATCTGAAAAGGAAAAGAATGTTGAGAATTTATCCGATGGAAGTTATGATGAGATCAAGAGTTTTCAGGGTTCGAGTGTGAGCAAGGCTGCATAAATGGCTACAGGGTAATCTCCTCTTTTAACCTTACTCAATCCAAAACCAATCTTTATACAATATTAATTAAGGGTGTCAGTTTATCGTTGATATATTTTGCAGATTTGCTAATGCGTTAGCTAGACTTTTCCTCGAGTGATATTGTTCTAAGAACTGGTGGCAAGCTAGATTCTCTTCACTCTGATGCTTACAAAAGATTCCAGGAAAAAAGTGGCCAGAGGCAAGAGAGAAGATGGTAAGAGATGATTGTACATGCAATTGTGAGGAAGACGCATTGAGGAAGACGACCACAATATTAAATCCACATCTGAATTAAACATCTGTAAATGTAGAGGAATGGTATTTTTGTCCATTTGGTTATTGTTTTTAGTTTTAATGATTTTTAAATTGTAAAAAAGATTACTAAATAATAAAAATTCTTAAAAAAAATAGATTTGGGTAAATTTGATATTGTAAAACATTAACAAAGGTAAATATGATATTTAAAGTTTAGGTCGAACAAATATGATATTTAGTCGTTTAGTAAGGTATATACGAAATTCTCTCTTTAAACAGCTAACTAGGATGTCATGGATTCAATCCCTGACAAAGAAAAAAAAATTATTTGTCGTTCAAAAAAAATATAAATTTAAATATTTAATGATATGGTGCTCTGTAATGGAAAGACTCTTCTTCAAAAATAGATGTGTAATACGCGTATGAGCCAGTGGAGAATTTGTGAAAACGAAGTCGGTGTATCAGATGAACCGACAAAAATCAATAGTTGAAGGACCAAACTGTCAAACTCCTAAATTATTATGGCCAAAACTTAAAGTAAATAAGGTTTACTCTTCATCAAGTCCATGAGTTTTAAGAGCATCCACAATGCAAGTAGTATAAGAGTTGAATATGGTGATGACTAAGATTGAATAAGAATTAAATGGAGTGTGGGTGAGTGATAACGTGAATTAGAGTTGAATGACCATTGAATGATTCAATAGAATAGAAGGAATAAAATGGTGATTAGAATTGAATATGTGTTTAATGGATTGTGGGTGATATTGTATAGATGTTTAATGGATTATGTAGCCAAATAGAGAGTTTTGTGTGTGTCTGCTTTAGTAAGAGTAAGGAAAAGCTCTTGGCGAGGAGACCTTAGGATAAGTTGCTAAAACAAACCGGGGGTGAAAAAGTAAGTGCGTAGCTCTGATACCAAATTTAACGACAAAAAATAAGTGTGTCGCTTTGATACCAAATTTAAAGACAAAAAATAAGTGCGTCGCTCTGATACCAAATTTAACGACATGACGGAATTAATAAAAAGATTATGATAGAATTATACATGAATGATGCGTCGGAATGGATTGACGATGGATTGTTTGAATTATATGAATAATTATATGAATATGTTTGGATAGGGTTCTGCTATTCAGAAATAGACAAACTATTTCAACAGAAGAAGATTGAGATCAACTCAAGTCTTAAAACACTCAATTTTAGCTTGTTTATTTCATATGGGCAAAGGCCCTATTTATAGGCTCAAAGGAGCCGTTTACATAATTGAATTGTTATCGTTTGATTGCAATATGACAAACATATTTACATTATAGCCCCCTGGACTATTGAGGGACTTACACACTTTATGTTACATCAAATAATACACCTAATAATTATTCTATTATTCTACCGACACTTTAAACAATTATATAAACATAAATAATTAATAATAATCCCTTCCACATTGAAAAGGACACGTGTCTTCAATAATGTGTCTTCAATAATAATGGCTTTTTACGTCATTGCTTGCGTTATTCCTCCCGCCTCCGGAAAGACTTATTTTTGAATAATGTTTGTTTGTGTCATGGCTGACGTTAATCTTCCATGAATGGTGTCTCTTCTGTATTTTCTGAACAATGACTGCAACTGTGTCTTGGTGCATGCATAATATGTTTACAAAGTTGTTTTTTGATATCAGAAGGTAATTCAGCCAATTGATGAGAAAGTTTTTCGAAAGGTTGTTCGAAAGTTTCAATTGCTTCTGGAGTGATTTCACTGACTGTTAAAGAATAGATAATTAAGGTTTTACTGGCATAATTCACTCTGATTCTTGACTTTTGATCTTTACCGTTGCCTATGCTTGATGATGCTAAATAAACACCGGCGAGTGCAAAAATTAGATGATCTTGTGTTGGTGATTCATGGGATAGATCATCTTTTGTTGGTTTCGAGCCGTTGCTTATTCCCATGTTTGCAAAAGTAATGCTTGGGACAATCAGTTGAGAGTCTTCATCAAAAATTGGGTAACTGGAATGCATTTTAATGAATAATCCTCTCTCTTGTTTTGCAAAGCGTAGTTTATAATTTCTGATGACAGTTTGCACAGCAGATGGGAATTCGCTGATGCAGTGTAAATTGGTTCCTTCTAGATAGATGGTGTCGATAAATCCGTGAATAAAATAATCCCATAAAGTCATAGGATCTGATAAGTCGGCTAGGAAGACTGCTTTAGGGCCTGGGCGCCTGGCTACTGGGTAAAAGCCCATCAAAGAATAGACTTCGGTGTATGAAAGGAGGTTGTCCCATAATTTAGCAAATTTTTGAGCAGATGGTTTTTTCATAGCTTCTTTTTCTTTGGTTGATAGAATGGCTTCAAGGGTAATTTTTGCGTTTAACTGGTTAAGAGATTTTGGGATGGATACAGGTTTTTGTGGGGTAAAGCTGGATACAGGTTTTTGTGGTGTAAGGAGAACTGTTTTTGAACATTCGACATTATCTTTTATGACTGCTTTGTATGCTTCGTTGTATGCGGCTTCTTCTTCATTTTTTGTTTTGTAGCTTTTGTGAATGATATTTTTTCCAAGAATATATGAGTTGGCAATTCTCCAATCGTCATAAATTCCTTTGTTTTCTCCGTTGAAAATCACGTACCATTTTTTTATATTTTTATGATCTGCTTGAAGTGGTGGATATTCTTCTGGATTTTGTGTCATAGGTTGTTTTTCTGACTTGAGTACTGTTTGCGGCTGACTATCATCGGATGATATTTCTTGAATATCTTCTTTTGACTGCTTCGTTGTTGAACTGTTAGCTGCTTCTTCTTTAGATACTGAATGAGATGATAAAATTTGTATTGTTTGTTGTAGCTGTTCTTTTTCACGTCTGACTACTTCAAGTTGTCTGACTAATGATGCTTCTTGCTCCTCTTTTTGTTTGAACTGGTGTTTGATTTGCTTCATGATTGCTTCCATTTCAATATATCTGTTGATTGAGTATTTGTGTTTCTTGGGTACCTGAATGTTTGCTGAAATTTATTTGTTTTTAATATTTCAAATGATGATATGAGAATTTTCATATCAATGTATGCTTTTGGTGATATATTCATATCACTGTATGCTTTTGGTGATATTTTCATATCATTGTATGCTTTTGGTGATATTTTCATATCACTGTATACTTTATCATTGTTTACTTCAGATAGGTTAGATATGAGGTTTCTCTCACTATCTAATCCCAATAATACTTTTTCCATAGGATCATTTACCTGCATCTGAATCAGAATCAGTTGTATATGCATAAATATCTATATCTGAATTTATGTCTGAATCTTCTATGGGTTCGTATCCAAGATCATATGCAATTTTTAATAGATTTGTTTCTTTTTCTTTTTTAGTCTTTTTTGGGCATTCATAGGCTTTGTGTCCGTCTTCTTGACATATCCAACATTTACAATCTTTTTTATTCGATGGGCAATAATTTGTTTTAGATTGATATTTTTGTTTATATTGTTTTCTATTTTGGAAATATTTTCTTTCTCCTTGTTTATAATATTCTTTATATTTAGGTTTATAAGTTTGTTTTTTCCAAAATTTCTTTTTATATTGTTGTTTTTTATTATCTTTACAACCATATTGATTAACTTTATTAGAAAGGATGTCACAACATAAATCAATTTTTGCGTCTTGTGTTGTTTTTTGTTCTAAACATTTTTTCTGCATCCATGCTTTTAATATACTTATTCGTGCTCCTAAAGTATCTGCAATTTTATTTTATTTTAATGCTTCTTGAAAATCTTTTATTATACTTTGGCTTACTAATGATGATAATTTTTGATAAAACATATCTAATGCTACATTTTTTCTAGTGGAATCTAAATTATAATAATGTTCAGAATATTCGCATATAAACGGATCTAGATAACACATATTACAAATTCGTAAATTAGTTAAATGTCATAATGATTCTAATTGAAAAGCTTCTTGTGATACTTTACCTTCAATTTGTTTTCCTATGAATTCCTGAATAAGACGACTTAATACATTTTTAAATGTTTCCATAGCATCAGTA